CTACGTGCAGATCTTCTCCGGCGTCGCCGCGCGGCCCGCGGAGGAGCGCCACTACCTCGCGGCCCGGGCCGCCCTCGAGTCCTTCGACGTCGTCCTCATCCTCGAGAAGCTCCAGACGCCCGCGGGCCGCGCCAGCGCCGAGGCGCTCCTGCGCCGCGTGCTGCCCCCGACGGGCTGCCCGCCGACGCTGCCGGAGCAGAAGGTCAACGAGGGCAAGCTCCGCGTCCGGGAGACGCCCCTGACCGCCGGGGAGCGCCGCGCCATCGCGGCGCTCAACGGCTGGGACTCGCGGCTCTACGCCGACGCCGTGGCGCTGAGCGACGCGCGGGAGCGCGGGCCGCCGCCGTGCCCGGCGCCCGAGGCCGCCAACTGCACCGTGGGCACGCACCCGGACGAGCCGAACCTGCTCGACGGCGAGAACATCATGCGCGGCTGCCACCGCTTCTGGCGGCCCTGCGGCGGGAATTCGAAGAAGCCGCCGCCGCCGGCGGCGACCGCGCGCGCGGTGCCGCTCTCGTCCGTCGCGCTGTCGAACCCCGCGCGGCCGCCCCCGCTGGCCCCGCCGCGGCCGGGCTAGGGGACGATCGGAGCTCGGTTACGCGGGCGCCGCCCTACTTTTTCTTCCCCTTCTTGCCCCCCTTCTTCTGGACGCCGCCGCGGATTTTGCAGTGCTGCGCGTCGAGCGTGGCGATGAGCTCCGGCGGGAGCTTGCAGACCTGCTTCTTCGCCGCGCGGAGGTCGAGCTCGCGGAGGTTCGCCCAGGCGACGGCCGTGTTCGGCAGCGACTTGAGGCCCGGGCACTTCTTCGCCTGGAGCTCCTGCAGGTTCACGAGGTCGCCGCTGCTGCTCGGGAGGTTCGCGAACTTGCCGCAGTTGTTGATGTAGAGCTCGCTCAGGGACTGGCAGGACGCGATGGCGTCCGGCAGCGTCCGCAAGTTGTTCGACGACAGCGTGAGCCGCGTGCACTTGGTCAGCGAGCCGATCTGCTCCGGGAGCGCGTCGAGCTTGTTCTTGTAGAGGTGGAGCTCCTCGACCTCCGTGAGGTGGGCCAGCACCTCGGCGGGCACGTCGGCGATGCGGTTGTTGCCGAGGTGGAGCTTCTTGAGCTCGCGGCAGGCCGACAGCGCCGGGGGCACGTGGCTCAGGTGGTTCGTGCGGACGTCGAGCTCGCGGAGCTTCGTGAGGAACGACACCTCGTCGGGGAGCACGGCGATCTCGTTCGTGCCCAGGTAGAGCGTCTCGCACTCCGTCCAGTGGCGCATGGCCGGGCCGGGCAGCGCACCGAGCTTGTTGTTCCGGAGGTTGAGGTACGTGAGCCCCGTCCACGCCGCGCTGCTCTCGGGCAGCGCCTTGAGCTCGTTCTTCGCCGCGGAGAAGCGCTTCATGAGCTTCCAGTCGCCGACGTTCTCCGGGAGCTCCGTGAGCTGGTTCCCGTCCAGCGCCAGGTCCTCGAGCGCGACCATCTTCGTACATCTCTCCGACAGGGGCCCGTTGAAGAAGTTGTCGCCTTCCGGAGCACGTTGAGCTCCTCGATCATGGAGAAGACGTGGTCGCTGCCGAAGAGCTGGTTCCGGCTCAGGTCGAGCTCCGTGAGCTTCCGCAGCTCGGGCACGGTCCGCAGCTCCTCGGGCACGAAGCCCAGGTTGCTCCGGCTCAGGTCCAGCGTCTCCTTGCCCTGGACGACGGCGCGCCGGATCTTGAAGAAGACGCACTCGAGGCGGATGGCGTCGGCGCGCTCGCTGCGCACGGCGGCGTCGCCGAGGCGCGGGCACATGCAGCGCTCGCGCTCGCGGATGATCGTCCGCGTCGTCACGACCTCGGGGCCCACGGGGCCCTTGCCCTTGCCCTTGCCCTTCTTGCCCTTGCCCTTGGCCATGGTCGCGCCGGGGCGACGCCCGCGCCGAGTCTAGCGCGTCGGCCGGGCTCCCGGAGCGCCCTCAATAACGCAAAGGCTGTGGTATCGGACGTATCTGGGCAAATGAAGCACGGCAACTCCACTTCAGCACCGGCCTTCTGCTTGCCGCTCACCCTCGCTTCAGCCCCGGCCAGATCTCGCGGCCTCGCGGCCATTTTGGCCGGCTCCTCGCGAGCTCGGCTTGGCGCGTCGTTCGCGGCCTGGCCGCCGACCCTGTAGCCCTTGCCCCGCGCCTAGCCTCGCATGGTCATAGAGAGGCCGCCCGACGCAAAAATCCGTCCGTGAAACGCTGTCGGGGGCGGCGCACGCGAACGGTCGGAATCGACGCACTCCTCCTGTGGCGGTGCTTGCGGCGCGGTCCCACCGGCGCCGCGGCAGCGGCAGCTCCAGGAAGCTCAGGACGCGCGAAGAGGTCCTAGACGGTGCCTCTGACGAAGCGTCGCGACGTCGGGCGCGTCGCACGGGTTCGGGGGTGCGGAAAGCCGCTCGGCGGCGCCAGATGCGAGATCCGCTACGACTTCGCCTGCGCGCACACTTCGCCGCGAAGACGCTCCACGAGTGTTTGTAGACGCACGTCGGACGTCGCCCAATGCCTCGGAACGATTCCAGCTGCTGCGACACCCGTCATCGGCCACTAGCACAGCTTCTACTCCCAGTCCAGCAAATCCGCATGCACTGCTTTGACGCCCAGCGCACGAGATGGCGCTGCGAATGGAGCTCGGGCGCGCTCCAGCTTCCTCCACGGGACACACTCGCCCGATTGCGACCGCTCTACGGCTCGCAGGACTGAACCTGTCGCCGCGACCGCGAACCACAGCCTCGTGTCCTGCGGGCCTCTACCCCTAGCCGTCGCCACCGGTGCTCAAAAGCGCGCGATGGGATGTTTAAGTGTTTTACGGCCCCTTCGCGGGCGAGAAGCGGCGCGCAGCGCTGGCCACGGTCAGCAAAATCACCCGATGCGAGTCGTCCTGGCGGTGGCTGGACGGCTACTGGTCTGGGCGACAATTTGGCCACGCCGTCCGCTGCGGAAACGACGTCGACGAAGGTGATCAACGGGTCGCACGGGGTCGGCACATCAACCGAAGCATTCGCTGAGACCGTCACGAGTTGCAGGACGCGGATCGTTGCTGCGAGCCGTGGTCGAGATCTTGTGCGGCGCCGAGATCTCGGAAGACGTCACAGAGGCGTTCTCGGTGCCCACAGCGGAATCCACGCTGCAGAGAGCCGTTGCCCGTCTGTGCGAACGCCGCGAAGCAGTCGGCGCGCCTCGCGAGCACCGTATCGACCAACGAGCACTTGGTCGCCGGCGCCGCGTTTCACCGACAATCCCGAGCGAGTGATAGCTCCGTCGGAATCGTCGTCCGGGGCGTCAGAGAAGTTTGGCACCTCGAGGGGACCCCACTAGTGGACTCCGAAGCGCCTCAACCCACACCTGATCGTCGATCGTGCAAAATGAGAGCGCATCGCGGCGAGTTGAGGCCGAAAAAGACGCAAATCCGACCGCCTCGTTCTCGCGGACGAGCGCGCGCAATGAGACTGCGCGTTGCAGCATTCGGACAGGGTCTCGTGCGAACCCGTAGAGCCAAGCCGCGCTCAAAACGATGCGATTTCGGCCGAGAACAAGCCCATACGCGCTGGCCGAAGCCGGCAGTGACGCCGAAGCGGCTGTGAGCGGCAAGCCTTCTGCTTCGCGCCCAAGCTGCGGCGAGCTCGACTGCCGCCTCGAGTGCCGACCGCCGCCACCGCGACGAATGCAAACGCTCACCATGGCCTTGCTGCTCGCCGCTCGGTCCGCGCGCTGCTTCGTCGCGCGCGCGCCGGCGGTGCGGCCGCCGAGCGCGCGCGCCATGTCGTCGAGCGGATCCTACGACATGGAGGGCACCATCAGCAAGATCGGCGAGGTGCAGACCTTCGAGAGCGGCTTCGCCAAGATCGAGTTCGTCGTCACGACGGAGGAGATGTACCCGCAGGAGGTCAAGTTCGCACCGCGCCCGCGTCCGGCCGCGCGCGTCTTTCGCCGCGGCTTTCGCCGCGGCGGCGAAACCAGGGCCGCCGCCGCGAGCGCTTTCCCCCCGCCGCAGGATCTCTTCAAGGACAAGATCGGCCTGCTCGATTCCTACGCCGTCGACGACAGGGTCTGCGTGTCCTTCAACATCCGCGGCAACGAGTGGCAGGGCCGCCACTACGTGAACCTGCAGGCGTGGCGGCTCCAGAACCTCGCGGCCGGCGGCGGCGACGGCTACGCGAGCCCGCCCGTCGCGTCGTCGGGCGGCGCGAGCGCGAGCCCCTTCGACGCGCCCTTCAGCTCCTTCACCGCGGACCCGCCCGCGGACGGCGGCGCCGCGCCGAAGAAGGACGACGTGCCCTTCTAGGCTCGTAAAAAGCAAAAAGCCCGTGCTCTTCTAGAGGCGCTATACCTGCTGTTCGACCCCAATCGAAATTTTGCCGATCTCGCGATCGGGGCCTTAGCGAAGGGCAACATCCCATCAACAAAACTTCAAGCTTCGCA